AGAGAATTAGTTATGAAAAATCAAACATCTTGTTCTTAAGGAATACTAATGCACATCTTTGAAGAAAGATTCTTGGCATGACTCAAATCAAAGAAACTAAAGAACTAAGGACATATCTAGGTGTTATTATTACTTATAGAAGTCCAAGAGTCAAATACTACTAGTTTTTGAATGACAAGCCCAAGAACAAACATACAAGGTGGAAAAGTAATCTATTGTCTTTTGAAATTTTGTTCCTCAGGGGACAGATGTCGAACGTGATATCCTGGACAATCAGTTTGACAAGTTAAACCAGAATCATCATAACTAACACAATATAACTTTTATAAGATGATGGAGTTGAAAAGTAATAAATAACACAATAATTGATAACCCAATTCGATGCAACACCTACGTCTGGATGGTTGGCTTTCAACCCAATAATGAAAAATTCACTATTAGTAGTTTATAGTTGTCTAACAAATCATATAATCATATTTATAAGTAAAAGCAATAAAAATAATTAGTAGCATACAATCCTACCAACTAACAATTATCAACATGCAATCATTCACATACTTAGTCATGCATAACACAAACAATTAATAGTTATTATCAGAATATGCATAATACTACTAACACAAAAGCTCACTCCAAAAGGGTCAGATGTCTTGCCCGATGCTCTAGCATATGAGCACATGCATGTGAGCACATCATTAGTACTTAAAATATAGTCAATACTAAACAATAACATTTTAGTTAGTCACACTAACTAACATAGTTCACACCATACCACTACTCCCCCTTTTTCCATAATTTAGAAAAGGGTTAACACTTTAAAATAGCAACCAGAGGTTAGTCAAGCAGAGATTAGTATGTTAGTACATACACAACCAAATCATAAGTAGAACAACCAGAACATCATCAAGAGTTGTGTGTGAACCGCAAGTGCACAGTTGTGTCAAGTATTAAAAAGTATTGATCCCACATAGAGATACGTGATTACCAATTTTTACTTCAACATTGTTTATTTTAAGTGATCGAAAATGGTTTGTTTAATTACATGTTTAAATTGTAAATTAAGAAACAATAAAAAGCATGAACGGAATTATGGTTATCCAACAAGACTAACCCCTAAGACTATTGATGTTTGAATTCCGAGAATTCTCTAAGCTTTTTAATATAAAATTAGATAAAGATGTGTGGTACCCACTTTTGTGGCATGCACATCTAGACGTGTTTCAAACATAACTATGTATATCAATAAATAACATATAACTTGTAAGACGACATTGCATTTTTAATTTTTTTCTTAATTGAGATCAAGTCGCCTTGTAAGTACCGCCTCGAACTCAGTTGTATATTAATTCTGTCGCGGTGAAAAATCAGAGACCAAGTTATTGACTAACACGACTTACAAATTAAGAAGTCACCACCGAACTTTATAGTTTCTACGGGAAAGGGAAAAGATCAAAACCCTATATTAAACATGCAATGTAAGAAGCAAAAACTAAAAGCAAAGCAATAAAGAGATCTAAGGTACGGGGGGTTGGTTATACAAAGGGAAGGTGTTGTAACTGGTTTAAAAACTCAGAGTTGCGACCCTTAATTTCTATCCCAAAGAAGGGAATATAAAGGATAACCCTAAAAGTTAGAGATTCTAGGTTTTTGGACTCGGTTCTAGACGAGTGGAAGGTGTTAAGAACCCCTCAACTACCTTGTTCACAAGGATACTAGGGTTAAAAGCCTATTTTTAATAAAAATAAGATTTTAATTTTTATCAGGGGAACTCGCCACGATTTTAGTCGTATGCCTACGTATCCTCTTATGAGGAATCAAAGTCTCAATTCCTAGTTTACAGTTGGTTTATGTTTTTTATGGGTTACGAAGATATTTGCATTTCCCGCGTGCTTGGTCTAGGTGTGTGAATAGCGATGATATTAGACAAAACACGCAGTCGATTTAAATATATTCGTAGCCCTTTTTTGAAAAAATGATTATTTTTTAATTTGATTATGAAAATGATTTTATTGTTGGTCGAGTATTTTTTAGCATATTAATTGTAAAAATCTCTAATTAATGCATGGTTTAAAATAATTTAATGCAATGAATAAATAAAATATTTTTGACAAGTATAGGAAATATATTTGATTTATAATAATAATAATAATAAAATACTAAAAATATATTGAAGTATAAAATATAAAAGTATAAATATAAAAAAAAAATTAAATAAAAAAAACACAAAGGGGGTATGAGTTATATTAGGTTAGTAAAGATGGGGGGTGCAGGTATTAGGGTCCTGAATTCAGATTTTGAATTCAGGCCCAAAAAAGCAAGAGGGTATATTTTTGGCCTATGCAGCAAAACTGGGGGGCGCAAGGAGCCAGAGCCCAAGTCCAGATTCTGGACTTGGCCCAATAAGTCAAGGGGAGTACGTTTTTTGCGTGTGCTAGTAAAAATAAAAACAAAAGGGCTTGGTTAGCAATGGTCCAGACCCAAAGGGTTTGAGTTCGCTTGGACTAGCTGTAGGTGAGTGCATGGTAGTTATTATGGGTGTGCGTGTTTGTAACGTGTGATGGTGATCATGTGGTGATAATTGAAGGAGTATGGTAACGATTGTAGGGTGGTACGTATCTGATAATTGATCTTAATATATTTTCATCTTACAAAATATATGTTCATTTGTTATCCTCTTTCTCTCTCACTGACCCTATTCCTCTTCTTTCTTCTTACAAACTGAAACCCTCTTACCCAACCCGCAGCGGTGCAATGTTCTATCCCTCTCTGATTCCACAACAAAGCAATATAACCCACAAGCCCCAACCCCCTCAAATCAAACAACAACAGAAAAATCTTGAGCTAAGAAATAGCCACCTTGTCGTGTTCTTTTCGCTTCTCTGTTCTGATTCTCGATCCTTTCACTAATCTCTCCCTTTCCATTTGTTTTGCAGGTGTGGAGGTGACGGTGAAGGTGATGATGGCGACGACGGCGGTTCAAGGAGAGCTAGGGTTTCAGATATTGAAACCCTAAGTTGGAGCGATAAACTTGGTGACGGAAACAGAACCTCACCGTTCTTCTCCAATCTTCTTTTTGTAAAATTTTCTTCTGTTAAATTTCCTCTTCGTGATATTCTTTCTCCTCTGTAAATCTCTCCCTGTAAATTCTTTTTCTTGTCAATTTCCCCATGTTCTGTTCTTTTATTTTAGGTTCTATAGTATTTTAGAATTAGGTATTTTAGGAAGGTTTTTCAGTTGTTTATCGTTACAGATTAGAGAATTAGTGAATTAGGGATTATTTTGATTTTATCTGTAATATTCAGATCATATTGATTATGAAGATTTGATTTTATTTCCTGTATTGATTTATTTCTGTTTTGGTTCAGGACTGTATTAATCTTTGATTTGATTCTGTATCGATTTAGTCATGTTCTGGAAAGTTAATGTGAAGATCTGATTTTTGATTTGTTGATATGAACAATGATTGTTCATATGTTATTTTCTTTAATTCGTACAGTAAATGTTTGTTTGTGGAAACAAGTATTTTTTTCTCACTTGAACTGGGCCTACTCATTTTGGGCTTTGGAAATGGACCGTGAAAAAAAACCTCTTCATCAACACTTTTCTTTTAATCAATAAAACAAAAATCATTTTTAATTAAGTTTATGATGTTTTAATTATAATCAATATTAGCATAATTAATAATAGTAATTATAATGAAATAATAATAATAATAATAATAATAATAATAATAATAATAATAATAATAATAATAATAATAATAATAATAATAATAATAATAATAATAATAATAATAATAATAATAATAATAATAATGTTATAATTAAAACAAAACATTTTTTCCAAAACAAACCCAAAAGCTGAATCGGGTCACTATTTTTAAATATTGGGCCTCAACAAAAATGATTTGTTTTATGGACCTTCTTGTTTAATACTGGGCTTTTAACAAGACGTGACCCTATATGGGCCTTCTTGTTTTGCAACATACATCCCCTTTTCAATACTTGAAATTGATTAAAAAATTACACGGGCCCTTTCTGATTTAGAAAGGCCCATGATTTTTCAAAATAATGTACTCCCATTATAAAAATGTACATTCTCTCAAAACATGAATGAAACCTTAATGGACCATCAGATATTAATAGTCCACTTTAGACCAATACACCTCTCTTCCATGTTTTACACCCCTATAGAAATAAAACCTACATAATATGATTTATTTAATTAGAAACCTAAATATAATATAATGGTAGGGAAAATTTTGAGGTATGACAACTTCCCCTATTTAATCACTTTTCGATTGAATTGTGTGAGAATACGCAGGTCTCACACATTCTGATAGGAAATTTATTAAATATTGGAAGACCCCAAAATTTATCTGAAAGATTATAAGGATATGGTGTACATCATTCCCATGGGTACGAAGAGTAGGCATAGATGATGATGCATCATCTTATCAGCGTTTGAAACGAAGTTTTTTTATAGAACTTAGACATGACGACGCAGATAACTCGTCAGTATCTAAGAGATTGTAGATTCTTTTGCATATTTACAAAAATACATGTTTTGAAAAAATGGCTTATTAATGTTTGAAGACTAATATAATAAGTTTTTATTTGATTTGATTTTTTATATTCATCGCAACCTAGATGATGAATAAAACAAAGGCTGATATACATTACTGCCTGGAGATTGATGCAATGGATTAGACAGATTTATTCACATATCTATCACATTCTAGGGGATAGATAATTGAAAAAATATTTTGATTCTTTTTAATAATATTCAATTTTATATAAATATTCATTTTTGGTCTAGTGGTGATTGGTGCTGGATTTGATAGGGATGACCACATTTCGATCCACGCAAAACTCATTTATGAACCAGACTATATCGTTGGTGAAAGCAAAAAAAAAACTTCTTTGTTCTAAAAAGTGTCCAAAATTAGTGTTTTAGCATTGAAAAAGAAAATATGAGCAATCCTTTGCTAGGGTTTAGTTATGCTAACAAAAAAGAAACTTGATGAAAAAGATGATCTCAAAGACCGTAGTACCAAAAGAGTCAAAGGAAAGGGAGATGGAAACATGCCACCCATGCATACTATTGCATTATCTCAGAGGGGAGAAAATGAAGGGAACCCCATAAGTGGTTTCATATCCTTCAAGAACATTTTGACGGGGGAGACGACTAAGGCAAAGAATGTTGACTTTCATGATGATCATCAACAAGTGAAGTTATCGGGGGAACCCCATAAGTGCGTTTTGGAAAGGAAACTAGGGTTTTTTTGTCATTGTGACCCTTTAACTCACTGAACACAGACTTCCTTCTCTTCTCTTGCTTCGTGTAAACGGTGCGGTACTCCTCTCCGCACAAAAAGGACGTTCTCCGTCGTCGATGTTCATCACTGCCGTTCGCTCAAGTCTCGACATCATAGCCTCAACCTCATCATCTTTCGACCTAACCTCCATCTCTTTCGAGGTTCTCCCACGGATTCAGCCTTAATTCATCACCATTATCAACCTCTCCTTTTTCTACTCTCATCCTCGCACTCACCACCGTCTCATTTCGTCACTCCGTTTCAATTTCAACGCAGCGATTTCACGGATTCAAAGCATTTCGCGGATTCGACAAAAATCATAGAAGAGTGAATGAAATACTTACCTACCGGAGCAGCTCTGGTGGCTCTTGTTTGGTGAAGAAAGAGACACTAATGCAAATTTCTGGTAATAAACTTAATCTCGTGCGTTCTTGATTATGTGATTTCTCCTCCGATTTCTTTTCTGTTTGGGTTATGGTGATGTGTTGATGTTGATACTGTAGATTGTTGATGCAATCGAATGAAGATGCATGTTGCAGTGGCTGTTGTTGTTGTCACTATAACGTGATCGAGAAGCAAGTTGATGGAATAGCGTTGTTGCGGAAACAGATCGAAGTTGTTGAAGAACCATGAAGAAGTGTGATGATGAAGATTAAAGAGGCTGCAGATTCGCGTTGAATTTGCAGAAACTGATGCGTGAAGTTTGGTTCAGAGGTCGATGACGATTGAGGAGAGTGAAGCGGTTTGAATAATATGCTGCAGTTCAGAGAGAACTCAGTTTTTTTTGTGAAGTTTCTGTGGTGATTCTCCAGATTGTGAAGAATGAATCAACTGCAAGGTGAATTTTTCTTTTATGCTGTTAGAAGCTTTGAAAGTTAGTTAGGAGTTGGTTATAGGGGAATTCAATATGAGCTGTAGATTCCAATAGTTAGTTATGGAATTGGATGGTAGGGATTAATTCTCATTTGAGCTGAGACTTCTGAGTTTGTTAATTTTCCTGAGTTTCTGATTTTATGATCTCTTCCACGGTTCTCCTGATTCTGATATTTGAAATGAGCTACCATTTTGTGACGTGGCCTATTTTACACGGTTTTATTACTCATTTTCTCTTTATATTTTTTGTTGGATAATTCTTTTGAAATTTTGGTATGAGATGTTTTATCATTCATCTGTATTTTCTTTGTTTGAACATGGCTTGTCCATTTTCTTCTGATTGAACTAAGCTGCATTTTTGTGATCAATTTTCTGGATTGGTTTAGAAGCTTATGTCAGGTTCATCGGAGTGTTAATCATGTGAACCACTTAATGATGATGGTAATGTGTGCGGCTGCAGATTTTTATCCAGGATGTTGCTGATGGTTTGTCATGAGTGCGAGATGATGGACCATGGTTGGAGTAATCTCAAATTATAAGCAAGAATTGAGCATGTTATGGCATGGAGCCGATAGTACAATTATGATGCTAACTTGTAACTTGGAAAGTGGAAGCATACCATGTTTACGATGTAGTTTTTTGTGTAATTTCTTTATGATAATTGATGTAAATGGATTTGGAGGATAGGTAGGCTTAGAATTGAATCTCTATTAAAATACCAAATGTAAACTCTCTGATGTAATTGGCATAATGACAAAAACATGTATCAATATTTCCTGGTCTCTTTCCTTCAAGAATGTGAATTTGTCCTTTAAACATTCTCCGACTCTTTGAATGAAAAACTTTTGGATTAAGTCAATGGAATTGTTTGGAATTTGTCATGATAATGAATGAAGTTGAATATCATTTTAAGGGATTTATGGATGTGGTTTGATGCAACTTGGGTAGAATTGTTTAAAAACCTTTAGTAGACTTTGAATGTAGTATGAATGATTTCAAGTCTAATTTTGTCATAACCACTTAATCTTTGAATTCAAGATAAACCAAAAATGGATTACTTGCATTTTAATAAACAATGGTTAACCTGGACACATTAAGAACTTGCATGAATACTTCTGCTAACGAATCCAAATTCAATTCAATTCTCAAATCCAAACTCAGATCACTAAGCCGTAAAAAAATGAACAACACAATAATGCCTTGCTCACAAAGTCCTAAGTTGAAATCAGTGTCCAGATCCCAATCCACTTGAAAAAGCTCTATGATAAGAAATCCTCAATGGATATGAACACAAAACCATAGTTCCTCACACAAGATTTGATGAAGGAACACGTTGAATAACCATTGATGAAAGGGGAAATCTTTGACGTCATAGAAACTCTAATTCCACACTTCACTGTTTGAAAAAGAATCAGAATACTCAGTCGTATTTAACATATACTCCTCAACCTAACATAAACCCTGTTTGCACGGTTACTGAATGTTCTAACCTCATGGTACTTTATTGAATGCGACTGTATGCTATGTTAAATAACCTAATGGTATGTATGCAGATGCATGTGAAGCCTAAGCCAATTAGGATAAAAATGAAGAGAATGAATTTTGGGGTGCAACAGAGTAACACCGGGATAAACACCTCTTTTAATCATATATTCTTTAACAAATGGTAACAGAGTTGTTACCAAATTCACGTCCATAATCAAATTCAAACTTTCCACATCTTCCATAATAGTTTTAACATTTGCCCCTGCATGGGTCGGCATTGGGTTCTGAAGGACATTAGGACCTTGGTCTGGGGTGAACCGAATAACTTTTGAGTCCAACAAATCTTGTACTTTGTACTTTAACGCCATACAATTCTCCATATTATGTCCTACATCACCATAATGGAACTTGCAGCGGACGTTGACATCATAATTTGTAGGGAGTCTCTCAGGAGGAGGAGGCATGTTTCTCATATCAACTAATTTGAGTTCGAGCAGACGCTAGAGTAGTTGAGAGTATGGCATTGGAACTGGGTCAAACTTCCTTTCAGGCCTAGGTTGCCGAGGAGCATTCTGCCGTCTCTGGTATTGAGGATATTGTTGTTGTTGTGGTTGAGCAGCAGGTATAGTTACATCATTTACTTGTTGTTGGGATCTTCATCGACCTCTTTGAGAATAAACAACATTAGTTTCCCCTTCTTTCTTCCTAGGATAACCGCTGAATGGTTTCTTTCTGTTCCCACTTGCGAAACTACCGATACTAGCAGACCAGGTCTTACATGTCTTCAAACCACTCTCAATGCGTTCTCCATACATAACCATCTCAACAAAACTAGTGGATGTGCCGCAAGCCACATAGTAACATCTGTAACACCCCGATTTAATTAGAATTATTTTATTTAAAATAATTGGATTATATGATTTGTTTATATGTGTTGATGAATTTCAAGATGTGTTTTGATGGGATTATTGGAATATTAGAAGTAGTGAGAATTGTATAAGTTAAAGTGTAGGAGTGTGTGGCTAAAAGTGTAGAGACATGGGGGTGAATGGAGAATATTAATATCATTGTTATTATTATTATATTTATTATTGCTATTATATGAGATAAATAGTAACTATAATATTAATAATTAAATAATTAGATTAATCTAGTAATAAGAAGAGGGGTATGATAGGGATATCTATATTAGAGGTCTAAAAGAGAGATGAGGTTTTGGTTATTATGATCGATCATAGTAAACAAGAGAAGAAACCAAAGAGAGAAGAAGAGGAAGAGCATTAGGAAGCTAAAGCAAGGGATTTCACCGTAAAGATTTTGAGTCGTCAATCCAAGGTAAGGGTGGAGTTCTGACTCTCTAATAGGTGGTATAATAGTGGATAGATGAAGGTTTGATTGTTAGATTTTGGGTGTAGATTAATTGTTAGGTTGACTATGGAAATTAGTTGTAATTGATGAAATTGATGTGATGTTTTTGTTAGAATTGTGTCATATAATGTGTGTTGATGATTACAAATAATTGATGTGTTTGGGTATGTCTCAAAAGTGGTTTTTAGATGAAAAGAATAAAATTTTGTAGCAAAAAATTGAAGTTTTTGGGGTTGTCAGAGTTGGATATCCGGGTACCCAGTTATGGTAACCGGTTACCAATGAAGCTGACCGAATTTTTGGAAAATTTGAAAAATCATAACTTTCTCCTCGGGTGTCCGTTTGACGCACCGTTTAGACCGTTGAAAAGCTAAAAACATTTTTCTACAATATAATAATAATTTTGATGATATTAGATGAATTATTTTTGGGTTGGAGGCTTATGCCTTGGGTGTCAGTGTTAGTTGCTGTAGGTTACTAGTATTGGTAAATTTTGTAAAACTTCAAAAATTCATAACTCGAGTGTCGGGTATCCAATTGATGTTTAGTTCAGATTTTTGAAATACTGGATTAACGTATTTTCTCTTAAAAATGTTTTCAATATCATAATTCCAACTATTTGAGGTGCGGCCAGGTGTTTCATACTGTCAAGTTATATCGTTTTGATGAAATGTAGGCAAATATTTTGTATAGTAGATTAATTAGGATTGTCCTATTTTAATGATGAATTAATCATGAGGATTTTGGTGTTGATGTGATGTGATATTTTCTATCTTATGAAGATTATCTTGGTGAAGGCTTATGCCTTATGCGTTAACGTTGTATGAAGTGTGGTGCGTATTGTTGTTATTGAACGTGATGGTGTTATACGACTGTTGTATGAATAAATTGCATAATATATTGCAATATGGCGAAGATGTTGTTGTTGGCCTGGAATTAGCATGATGTTGATGGTTATGCTTGTGATTTCATAATTTTAGTTGTGGCATGTCGCATTTCATGCATTGTTAAGGGCTTATGCTTTGGCCTGTATTGTAAACTTGTTGAGGGCTTATGCTCTGGCCTGTATTGGCAATTGTTAAGGGCTTATGCCTGGTCTTATATGGAGATTTGTTGCGAGAGGACTTATGCCCTGATGGTACCGCACGCATCTTCCATCAGAGTCAGTTGCACTGTATTTGTTGAATTGTTAAATTATGGAATTGTTGAGTTGCATGTCTGATAATTATCGAACTTGAAATCTTGCATGATATACTGATTGTTTACTCATGATTATATGATATATTATATTGTCATGATATCTCACCCTTACTGTTTGAATGTTGTCTCTACGTGGGTAACGTGCAGATAATCAGGAGTAGTGTGAAGTCGTGGAGTCTAGAAGAGGTTGCTCTTCTTATTTTGAGTTGGTGTCATTGCTTGATACGTAACATCAGGGGGATTAATGTTTTATGGTTTTATTTAATTGATGTTTTTATTTTGGAGTATTGTGGGAGTACTATAGAATCTATTTTATTTGATTAAAAATGTTGTTTTGCGATGAGTTGAAGATGTTGAAAACAATTTATGAATTTCTTTCTGCTGCATTAATAAAGTTTAAGTTTGAAGACTATGTTGAAATGTTGTCGGTTCATCTGAAATATGTGTTATGTATCTGTTTAATTATAATTGAGCACAATTTGAATATGTTGAATAATGTGACATCCTATTCTTGGAGTTTTATTCTACTCTGATTTTTATTAAAATTACCATTGGGGAAATAGGGTGTTACAATTGGTATCATAG